ATGAGACCAAAATAATTCTCTATTTAAGAGGTCTAAATGAAGCTGGTGTGTTACTCTCAAGAAAAATAAACGAAACCATCTTATAAGTTGCATGCCACAGGGTTTCACTTCACATGGAAAATGGACTTTAAATTTATCTGTACAACATCTACCATGAGTACAGACAACTTCAATAACGAGTTGAGAATATGAAGGCATCCATGCAGGAAACAAAATATAAAGATGTGATAGATAAAATAGATAAAATAAATGCATCCATATTATAAAGAAAACTGAGTGCTTAAATTTATATTGCGATTGGTTTGCGGTTTGTAGAAAATGGGATTTGCAATAGGATTATAAAAAAATGATGTACAATCCCAAGTAATAAATGAAATAGTCGAGCTTTAAAATGTTTATTCAAATAGTAGCTGTATATACACTTTTCTATTCACACCTTTCCAACATTGCTTTCAACTGACTTGTGCAAGAATGTACACACTATTACATATTTTTAACAAAGGTAGTTTAACTTCATCATTGTCTCCTTCTATTCATAGTCAATTATTTCAATTCAAAGGCAAACAAAAATTCAGCAACAATCTTTTGGTGACCAGTCAGCGGTCTTAGGTTCACGTATTGCTTTTCTTTTTTTAAAGAAAGAAACTTGTTTAAACTACATGAAAGTAACTGGTTTCTATGTAATTGTATTTGAAGACATTGTTTTAAAAAATAAATGCTAAAACGACACATTAAAATTACATATTAATTGATTACTTTAAAATGGAATTGAAATTGTTTTTTTTTTTAAAGTACATTAAATAGAATTTTTCAAAGGACAATATGTTATCACAGAATAAGATTTATGAAATATCACTTCTACCTGTCTTTTCTGATCAAAATGTATTTTGGGATTGCCATATCACACAACTTTATTTCATATGTACTTTTTTCATATTTTGTACGCAAAAGTCAATTAACAGAGTTGAAACAGACACAGCAATATCTTCTAACACCGTCAACCTGGGTTTTGTATGGTCAATTTATCTATTGTTATTCAATTGCTTGAAAATAAGTATATTGTTGTTGAAGTTGACGTTTAAGCACATATTTATGTATAGTAATCTTGTGTGATATAATGTACGAATAAGGAAAATAATTCAGATGGACTGTATAACCAATTAGATTAATAGACAGACCCCAAAAAAGTGGTTAATTAGAATAGATAAGTTATCTCAACTATAAATTCCCAATACTTAAAAATACACAACCATATGTACAATCCAAGTAGGGGAACAACTCTACGTCTTTCTCATAGTATGGAAGACAAACTACGTTAATGTAGTGAAAAGATTTCAGAGCTCTTAAATGTTATGTTTATATGATAACAGACCCTAATTGGGATTACCCTAAAAGCGGATTTTTTTTTTATATTGTGACTGATGAATATTTATTGTCCGTATTCCTTATGGTAATATTTTTCCTGCTCATGTTTGTCAATCATATATGTGATAGCATTTGCATGTTTGGATTTATTACAGACAGTTTAGAGTAATTGAATACACTTTAAAGGGGTACCCAACACTTTGACTAAAATAGATTTGAATTGTTTAAATTTCAAAAATTTTGACAAAATATTTACTTTGACTTGTTGACAAAAATATAAAAAAGTTGACCACACAATTTACAGGAACAATTTGGCTGGATGTATAGCAGTGTTACAAACACTAATATTGATCATTGAGAAACTCGATTTCTCCTTATTAATAGGATGTGTTTAAAACGTTCAGCCGATTTATAAAGAGTTAACTCCCTAAGGTGTTCTTTACCCCCTTAAAAGAGAAATTTAAATACGGTATTATATCCAATGACATTCAATGAAACGATTCGTAAATAGATAAGATATTTTACAGTTGTATGAACATATGTTTTAAAATGTTTCATTGTTTTCTGTTTATTGATGATTTTTTCAATTATTTTGTTTGTATAGAATTGCTTGTGATAACTATCGCTATAGAATCAAATTTGTTTAATTATTCATATACTTATTTTCTGAAATCTTTCATCTGCCAGACGTGATTGTATAATTTTGTTCAAACCGTATGCAATTACATGAGTTTAGTTGTACTTTTATTTCAAAACATTGCTTAAAAATGGATACTAAAAAAGACGCATTAAAATTAAATTATTGATTAATGAAAATTGAAATTGAAAATGATTAAACATTTTAAATTACATTAATTTGATATTTTTAAGTGGCAATATTTTATTACAGAAATAAGATTATGACATATGACCTCCAACGGTCTGTTTTGATTATAATGTATAATTGGATTGCAATCTCTAAGTCAACTTTATTTCATATGAAATTTTATTCAGATTTAGTATGAAAATCAATTAACTATTAACTAAGAAGAAACAAACACCAAACAGTAATATCTTCCATCCGTCAGCCTTAGTTTTGTATTGCTAATTAATGACAATGTAGGATCACTGAAGAGAACCTTATTTTTTGTCAAGACATTAATTATCGAAATGCGCATCTGTTGCAGTAAAATTGGTACTGTTTATATTATTCAATATTATAAAATTGCTTTCAAATAAATGTGTAGTCGTTGAATTCGACGCTTCGACTCTAGGAAGAAGTGCCTTTATCGTAGCAAACAATCGTTTTCATCACATACTAATTTTAGAGTAGACTTTGATCAGGTGGTCTGGTAAACTTGTTTATTCATTATACTTTAAACGGATGATACAAATGTTTCTGAACATAACACGTGTTTTTTGAATTGCTTACCTTTTTAATCCCTTTTCGCCTGCAACTTCTGCCAACAAATAAATCATAATTGAATAAGATTATAAATGGTAATTTCTTTAAGATTATAAATGGTAATTTTCTTGAAAAGGATTGTATCATATAGACCTGTAAATAAGTATGTTTTGACAACATGTTAATTATGTTTCCTGAATATTATAATGTTTTCCTTCACAAGCCTGACACTTCAAACCATTTTGAGGATGCGTCAGAAGTACTTTTCTACATTAACATTAAACCGGAACGATCACCCCAAACATTTGAAAGCAGAAGATGTATACATACCTGAATACTCGAGAAACTATATGCCCAAAAGGGACCTCGCGGAAGAATAGCCAAATTTATTAAATGCCAACTTTGCCTGATGGAGTTGGAACCTTATTTTTTGTCAAGCTCTACATAGTCGCGCATGTACAAGTGTAGATAACACTCAATGATTATATAGAAACTCCTTGGAATCTGACATCAATTTCCAAAATGAAAAAAAACACACACACAAATACCAAAAAAAATACGGAGAAGGTTGCCGTTTAGGATCACCACATGTGGAGCAGGATCTGCTTACCTTTCTGCAGCACCTGAGATAACCCCCAGTTTTTGGTGGGGTTCGTATTGCTCAGTCGATCTTTAGTTTTCTATGTTGTGTTTTGTGTACTATTGTTTGTTGGTCTTTTTTTTTTTTAGCCATGGCGTTGTCAGTTTATTTTCATCTTATTAGTTTGAATGTCCCTTTGGTATCTTTCGCCTCTCTTTTGATTGACACATACAGATAGAAAGAAATAGCAGAAATCGAAAAATATACCGCACAGTTCAATAGGCCATATCAAATACCATCACACGACTACTAAAAAAAACCAACAGACATACACACAAAATCAAACAGTATCTAACAACACATGACCTAGATAGCATTACATAGTACAGGTAAACAAATGTGGTGGGGTTAAAACAATTTTCCATGACGGGATTAAACTACTCTTACGAGCTATTAACCTTTTTATTTCAGTAATGCCGATATGTGAAATTGCAAGAGGTAAATTGTAAGGGACAAACATCAATATCCCGGCCACAATAGACTATTTTCATATTACCGACTTTTGACTCTGGAATTCATATTTTTTCGACAGGTTACCTACTCTGTGGTCCGACATTCTGGAAGTATGAAGGTAAATCCAAAAAAGCGCTTCGGACGCATGAAAGTTATAACGTATTTTTTTTTGGGGGGTGTTTTTTGACCAATTTATGTTATCTATACACAACAAAATCATCGGAAAACAGTAAACTTTCCTCCCAAATTGCACGGATTATATATGTGATTTTACTTCTTTTGGTTGCTCTTATTTGAACTGTTAAACGAGTACCAGGATGTCCTACACGGAGTTTGTAATCTGTCGAAAAAATATATAATCCGGAGTCAAAAGTCAGTAATATGAAAATAGTCTATTGTCGCTGCATCAATATTGTCGTGCTCTTCTTGAGTCACAGTGACTCAGAAGAGGTAATTTGTTTAATTAAGGAATGGCTGTAATATTTTTTTTCTGTCTATGAAGAAATAACTTCAAAAATGTGGTGCACACTGAATAACCCGCGTAGCGATTTATTTAAAAGTGTGCCCCACATTTTCGAGGTTATTTCGAGTAGACAGAAACAATATTACAGTCAGTCCTTATAATCTAATTCTAAATTCTAAGGAGTTAATCATTGAAAAACGTTGATGACGTCACGGTCACATGGCAATATTATGTCTATGAGCTGAAAATTAAACCTGTACAAAGCACCCAATTGGAATTGAGAACTACTTTTGTAATCATTTAAAATGATTAATTGCATTTAGCCGGTATATTGATAAACACATTTGATCTGAATAGTAGAAAATAGTTATCTAAGTATATTGTTATATCATCAGTTGTAATTTTCTGAATTTAGACAATCTAAAAGATCCCCTATAGTGCCTTGGATCATCAAAAATATATTTACTCTGGGTACAAACGTTATTATTTTAAAAATAGCTTCTTTCGGAATAATTTATATAGTTTAGTAGTATATATCGATAAAACTTTTATATGTGCTGAAGTTATTTCAATACATTAGATATCTAAAAAAATCGTATTGGAAACAACCCACACTTCAAAAAATCTATAGCACGTGTTGTATTATTAATTCGTTTCAACGTTATTTCGATGTTTTTAGGTTCCCATACGTAAAAAAGACGCTATCTAAATACCAGTAATCAAACGATGATTTGACTCGGCAACACGATCATTTTAAATAATTCAAAATAATATTGGATACGCAAATAAGGTTCTGCCATCTTCAACAATTGCAAGATATAGACAACATAGAGAAACCCGTAACATCAGTGATTGAAGCTCACTGTATAAGTATGGACAAATTAAATCTTTACTTATTTTTATCTATTTTTATTTTCAAACAATACGAGTGTGTATTGGAAGAATTTTGCGATAAAGACGATATTGAATGTCAACGTCCAAATGATATAACCAAATTAGGAACGCTTCAACATGGCAAAAGTCAAGAAAACAATATATTACGCCGTGTTCAACGTGTCGGTTTGCATGAGTGTGTGAAAGAATGTTTGGTGACGTCACAGTGCACCGCTATTAACTATCGAAAAAACTGGAAGCTATGTGATCTACTTGGAGAAATACCAAGAGGCAAAAAGCTCAAGGATGAGTCTAGAAGTATTTTTAGTAAAATATCAAAATGGCCGAAGGTATGTATACTACGTAAGTAAATATCAATTGTAACTCGAATATTGTAAGTAAAATTTAGATATTCATTTGAAATGAACAATCAAGTAATCGCTTGAATAGCGGTTGCTACATATTGAGTAGTTTTGCTTACCCTTAAGGAGCACATGAGATCACCCCCGGTTTTTGGTAGGGTTCGTGTTGGTCAATCTCTAGTTTTCTAAATTGTGTTTTGTGTACTGTTGTTTGCCTTTCGTCGATTTTCGTCTTTTTGCAATGGCATTGTCAGTTTGTTTTTGACTTATGAGTTTGCATATCCCTTTGGTATCAATAGCCTATTTTTTCCAAAAGACACGAAACCGGTTGCATCAACAGGGTAAAACGTCAACATTGCATTAACCTTTAGATCAATAACATAAGTCAATGACATGAATAAATACTCTGTGGATATAGTTCATTTAACAGAACAACCGACTCTACAAAATTTACAAAATAATGAATTTATTTCTGTAGATGTCACAGTGACAAGTTTCAAATTGCTGATATTAAAAGGTTGATAAAAGCCACTCAAGGTTTTGGCAATTTTATCAATAGATGCAGCTAACATATTTCTATGAAATACTAATGTGTTGTAGAAATACGATGGTATGCCACTTGAAAAGCAGGAAGTGCTGACCCTTCCGGTGCACATGTGTTCATCCCTGTCTTTTGGGTCGGTGTATCCTAACGATTTCATATTAATCTATTAGGTCTGTCATGGTTGCTCACCAAATTTTGTCAATGTAACGGAACTGTAAACAACTATTAAACAAGTGGAAAGTTTAGCAAATAATAATCCAGGTTAAATCCCTGTACAAAGTCAGTAATATGACAGTTGTTTTCCACTCGTTCCGTTGGTTGATAACGTTTGATTTTGTGGGTTTTTATGGACTTCCCTACCTTAGAGTTCGTTTTTTTTATATACTGTACACTTAAAAATATTGCGTGCATCTATTATTTCGATTTTTGAAGTATCGACAAAAATGCGAGATGAGTTTTTGCATACAGATGTATCATGTATATGTATCAGATATCAGAATCCGAGTTCTTATAAATGCGATACTCAACCAGTCGCATTTTCGCATTAGTGGAAACCTCGCAATAATTTCTGAATTTACAGTCAATCTAATTTCCTGTGCAATGGTTTTTTGTTGTTGCTTATCATTCCGTTTTACTTTTTTTAACAGGGACTTACGTTCCATACGTAAGGTCATGTAACGATGCGTGTCCAACGGATTTCTACCTACATGTACATAGCCGATGAAGACATGTTGATACAATATCGCAAATTTGTGCATGTTTTCCTTTAGTATACATTTTTGTATCGTTGCTAAAAGAAAAATAAACATGAGCTAAATAATATGTGTTGAAAACTGATACCATGTCATCTTAGTTCTCCCTGGAAAATCATTAGTAGTATATATAGTAATATAACTTTATTTTTAAAAAGATAGAATAGAAGATCTGCAAATACCTGCCTTTGAACTATTTACAGTGAAAACTCCATTGTGAACCGGATATGAATTTCTTCATTTTGTAGATCGACTGATTATTTGCCGATTTACAATCTAAAAGACCACAGGATATTTTAGTTGTGCGTAACTAAAAAATAAAAAAAATACGTTACGTCATTGGTTGTTTTTTTTGTAGCCAATCACAATGTTTTGGCGTAGGCTTTTTGAATATATTAAAAAAGAAAAAGCTTAAAACAAATTGGAAAGGAAAATTATAGGTCATTAAATAAACCAAATATTTTTTTTTAGTCCCTTGCTGGAAAATGTGCAGACCACACGTGTGATGTTGGAAACAAATGTGGAAAACAGCAAAATGGTGATTTATCATGTATACCTGCTTGTAAGAAGATTATCTTTTAGTTACTTAGATGGACTTGCATAGTAATGTATTGCTTGATTGATATATGTTTGTCTTATCAATGTGTTGAATATATATTTATAAAAATCTTTAAGTATGCATTCTACAAGGAAAATTTTTCATTACTCTGAAAGGTAGAATTTTTAAATAAAAAAGGGTATATATTGAAATATTTTGTTATATTGATTTAAAGGCTTGTATTCGTTTTGAAATGTCAAATGTTCTTTTAACGTATTAATTTTTCTATAGATACTATTCCAACTAAACACTTTACTTCTGAAATAGATGACAAAAATGTAAATGTGTCAGGGTAAGAAGCAGCAAAATCTACAGGCTTTATGAATAAAATTACGTTAATTTTCCAAATTGTATTCAGTATTCATGTCACTCCGGAATAATGTTTTTTTTCTAATAATAATAGTAATAATAATAATAATAATGATAATAATAATACTTTTGTAATTATTTAGATTCAATACTTTATTGCAATACTCAACTATGACAGATGATACAAAATCCCTTTATTAAATAAAAATAAGGAGATGTGGTATAATTGTCAATGAGAAAACTATCCACAAAGTTCGAATGAAGTGGATGCAAGCAATCATAGGCAGCTGCATGGCCTTCAACAATGAGAAAAAGCCATATTATGTAATCGGCTATAAAAGACCCGTGAAAATATGAGAAACAATTCAATTGAGAAAATTAACAGCCTAATTTAAACATGTTTTTATCGGCTTAATTTGGTTCGTTGAAACTAATATTCTAATTAGCGAAACCAGTCAGTAGTACTGAAAAAAGGGAAAAACTTTATCGGGATGACCTATTTCAAATTCTCCATCAAATCACATGTTTTAGTGACTTGCAATACTATGAATGATGAGAAACGTCTTCAAAAGTTCTAAAACGGTTGAGGGAAAATTTTAATCCGGAAAAATGATCTTGTGCCATTAAAATTTTGCTATCTTTAGTTAATTTTATATCCCGATTGGACATGAAAAACTAGTAACCACAAACAATCTTAGACTAGTAGTTTAGCATTCTAATTAGTGTCACTAGGTATTATTTACCTAATTGTAAAGGCAGGGTTCTTTTGATCGAAGTCTTTTTTCATATCTTCAAAATATATTTCATGTAAAAAATATTGTTTTCTTCAAGTACATATTAAAGTTAAACAATAAAAAATGTATTAATTGTTACTTCTTTTACCTGGAAGAATACAAGATACAATAGGTTATGTTTACACATTGCATTAGTCAAATATAAATTTTATCATTTACCATAGTTTATTTGGGAGGTAATTTTAAACCTCATTTTGAGTATCTTTACAAAGACAAAGTTTTTAGCCCTAAACAAAGTTCAAATTCTAATTTTTAACATAATAAATTAAACAGTTGGTTGACCGTTATGGAATATCTATTTTTCAGACGACAACGATACGTTCCAATTATCGTAACTACAATCCCGTCGCCCTTTCCCCGAATGTGACCTACCAAAATTAAAAACAATAAAACATATTTAGATTTCCGATGTACAGAAGTCTGCACCATTCCAAAAATAGAATAGCAAAGGTGTAATCAATGATTTTGCTATGTAAAGATTAACAGAAAACAATATTTCTTTTAGATTGTAGAGAATCTGCTCCAGATATAAAAAATGCAGCCTGCATAGAAAACTTTGGAATGTATAAAAATCTAGGAACAGCCAACCTTTTTAAGTGCAATTCAGGTTTTACAATGAGAGGTAATCCATTTTTGGTATGTAAAGACAATGGAGAGTGGAAGAGTTTGTTTTGCTGCCTCCCAAATTACAAAAGTAAAGAAGGTATGAAACAAAATCATAAAAATATATGTTTTATCTGTTTTCTTATTTACAGAAGCTGCGGGAGGATAAGCCATTAAGACATTATAATTGGTATGAGAACGTTGATATATCTTCATTCGAACTGTTACTATCTGAGCTAGCAAGTTAAGAGTTCGAAACTGCATTTTGTTAAATACAAAACAGGTTATATTCTGATCTATTTACCATGTAATTTTTTGAAGACGATCAGCAATTAATCAATCACTTTACTATATATTCCAGCTAAATAAAATTCTGGATCTTTTGAAAGTAACACGCAATTTATTGTCCGTATTACTATTAACCTTATTTGATGGTGTGATTGTACAGAAAACAAATATTACAATTACTACAGTTTCCTAAGATATTGAATATTATACAAATAACGCTAAATTGTAGAGAAGAGCTCATCGCGGATGTTCTTATGTAATTCTTACGTTTGAAAGAGGGGACTAGATTACAAAACGGCCATTAACAACCTTTATACCAAAGAAAAAAAAACATTTCAAATTTTTTGACATTTTTACCTATTATATCTGTTTGTTTTGTTCACACATCGTTGTCAATATAATGGAATTTTATGCGACTGTCATACAAGTGAGAGGTTTAGCTAGCTATAAAACCAAAATTAATCCACCATTTTTTCTGCAAAAGCAAATGACTGTACCAAGTCAGGAATATGACAGTTGTTATCCATTCGTTTGATGTGTTTGAGCTTTTGATTTTGCCATTTGATTACGGACTTTCCGTTTTGAATTTTCCTCGGAGGTCGGTATTTTTGTTATTTTACTTTTTTCCATGGTAAATGCTAAAGTCAAACGAATCTACAACAGTCCACAAAACAATACACTCGAACATAAAATTAAAAAACCAAGACCCAAACAAAAACCCATTAAACGCCATTACACAGGAACACGACGATGCCACTTGTGGATCAGGATCTGGCTTCCCTCCGGAAGACCTGAGATCATCACCGGTTTTTGGTGGGTTCGTGATGCTCAGTCTTTAGTTTTCTTTGTTGTGGTTTGTATACTGTTGTTTGTTTTTCTTTTGCCATGGAGTTGTCAGTTTATTTTTGACTTATGAGTGTGAATGTCCCTTTGGTATCTTTCGGCTCTGTTAAACAATGAGCAGTACATGTTCCCTTATAACGCCCGTAACACAATAAATGTAAAATTGACCTGGAATTTATATTTGTAGTGCCACATGACTGTAGTGACATACCATCTGATTGTACTTCTGGGATCTATAAAATAAATCCTACAGGTAGAAGTGAGATTGATGTGTTCTGTGATATGGAGACAGCAGGTGGGGGATGGACGGTAAGTATCAGCATAGCGATATCAATAGCTGGAAAACAGGTCAACGTTTGATCCAAAATATCTAAGCAATAATACGTTCCTTCGGTCGTGGAATTTCAGTTGATCTGCAGACGAGAAACATATTTGTTTTTATCTTTTTATAGGGACATCGTCATGATAAGAACCTTCCCTTTGATATATACTTTTTCACCTTACATATCAAACATTTAGTTCTTGCTATTTATTTAACTAAATTACTTCCATCTTTGAACGTTGGTGATGGAGTTTGTTGTAAAAGATCCGTTTCCTGTGATAATATTTTTCTACTGCGTAGGAGTTTTCGTCAGTTGTTTGGTTAAGCTACAGTCACTTTAAATTATCAGCCTGATATTTATGGTGAATATAAATCTTCGAAGTTTCTTTGTACGTTTTTTTGTAGATACATTGTTTGTACGACGACTTTTGCTGTAACACGTAATGTTAAATGAAGTCGTGCAACATGTTTGACTTAGTTAGGTCCACACATTTACAATGTTTCCATACACATGATATAGATAAGATAAACTATGGAATGCAGTCTGTATTCAGCCTTTTTAGGTTCCAAACAACCTCAGTGAAGCATTTGGCACGATTGAAGTATACAAATTTCCAAACTGTGTAAATAAAGAAATGAAAATTACATTTGAGTTTATGAAAAAGAATAAAGGATAATTTCTTTCTCATCATGCAGAAATATATGTGGTAGCACGTGGACGATTTCATAGGCAATTGCTTGCATTTGTATTTTAAATAAAGATAAGTATTTATTTAAAATAATAAAAAGTATTCAGAAACGAAAAGAGCAATAAAACAATTATACAAATACGTAAAAGAAAACAGATTGGACCATTACCAAAAGAAAGAAAGACAAAAAGACATGTAAACAACAGTCCAGAAACCACAACACATAAACTAAAACCAAACATTAAGAACATAATTAAAACCGGAAGGGACTCAGGTATTCAACTGTCCCATTTTATTAGTGAGATCCGCTGTGTTGCTTTGGTTAAAATCCGGCTGGTTGTGGTCAGTTTAAAAGTACCAAAAACATAGCACATTCGTAAATGTTTGTAACAAACACACCTGTCATCATTCATACACAATCATTACATGCGAAATTTATAACCCGAATATGCAAATATTAAGATGAAATATGTAAAGGGGTATTGTCAAAAGCATTTGAAAGTTTAAAGCCAAATATTTGCATAGGAATATAGGATGATGCAGGATTATTGTTTATCATTAAACCTAACTTGTCTGGTAATGATGATGTACCTAGTTTTTCTGATTTGCTTCAATAATCAATATTAATAAAGACACCTCACATATTTAAGTTTTTGAAATAACAAAAACTAGTAAAATATCCCATTTATAACAGGTGTTTCAGAAGAGACTAGATAACTCTACGAATTTCTATAGGGGTTGGTCTACCTATGAAAAGGGATTTGGAAACCTGCAGCGGGAATTTTGGTTAGGTATGTACATGTACGCTGAGGAAACACAATTTGCAATTTTAGAATCTGAAACAAGTTTGGTGAAACATTCAAAAGTGTACACCAATACCATTTAATTTCTAAAACTGCATATTGGAAGACAGGCATTTGTTATTGATAAAATCCATTTCATTTAACAAGAGTATACAGAGAGTTGTTTGTAAAGTAAGTAGCAGATGGCAACCTATATGATAAAAAACTTGTCACACATGATCTGATAATGTTTAAACAATATTTTCATTAAATTTTTATAAATATGGGGATATATGGAACAACGCAAATGCATTATTCTAGTTATTCATTCAGCGCTTAACAGTGATTGACAATCATGAAATGATGGCCTATTGTATAATTCAGTGTTCATGATGACGAATATTATGATAAAAGCATTACTGTTTAAACTTTTTATTTTGAAATACAAGACTCAAACGAACACACTTGGCTGGTTCTCACGATCCGATCAAAGTATATCGAGGAGGAAAAAGTCTTCGATAAAAATAAATTATTTTTCAAATTACATCAACAACAAATGAAATACATCTATTTTAATCCAGCAATAGCTTATAATATCAGTTTATTTGGTCTTATTTTGGTAATGTTATTTTAGTTTTTGAATATTTTTTCTTCAATTTAACAGCAATTTTGGATAAAACTATCCAACTAATATCTCTTAAAGTCCTTCTTTATAATTAAGTGTCAGTTTGAAAGTACTTACGGGTAAATACAAAAATACGCAAACGCCACGACAATAACGTGGGTGATCCGAAAGGGTAAGCAGGTGAGTAGGCATACCCTGCTCCACATTTGGCACCCCTAATGTTGCTCATGTAATTACAAACCCGGTGAAAAGTATATTTCAGCTGATCACATTCGAGGAAAGGAGACGGGGTTGTAATAACAATTGAAACATATCCATCGTAATCTGTTAAACAGATATTCTTTAACGGTAAAACAACTCGTAATGCACGGTGTAGAATGGTAACGGACTTATCGGGGTTTTTTCCGGCGTTTCCGCACTAATCGGGTTCGGCAACGGACTTATCGCGTTTTGATTCAAGACGGCATGACACACAATGAACCACATAGACGATAAGAAGTCGTAAGTGTTTGTGTTTATATGATTACGGAAGGCACCAATAATCTAAGTTTTCAATATTCTTCATTTTGCTTCGGTACCACTCATGGCTTTTTCAAAAAGCTCCACACTAAACAGGACAACCGGCCGACCACAGTTACCAATGCTGTGTTCGGCCGGTTGTCCTGTTTAGTGTGGAGCTGTTTGAAAAAGCCATGAGTGGTACCGAAGCAAAATGAAGAATATTGCAAACTTAAATCATTGGTGATTTCCGTAATCATATAAACACAAAAACTTACGACTTCTTATCGTCTATGTGGCTCATTGTGTGTCATGCTGTCTTGAATCAAAACGCGATATGCCCGTTGCCGATCCCGATTAGTGCGGAAACGCCGAAAAAAACCCGATAAGGACGTTACCATTCTACACCGTGTAATGGCGGCCGTAAATATTGTTCTCAACCGACCCTCATTGTCACATTCTAGATCCAAGTGAAGATATGAGGTAGACCTAACTGTTTCAGTAGTATCTTTTACTTCAAATTCGATTGGAAAGATGCGTTCAACATAGTCACCAAACTTTGAAATAATTAGTGAGAGGACATTATCTAGTTAGCAGAATGGGAAGTTAAAACTCTTCTGGAGTCCTTTAATCCCCCTGGTTTTTGGTTTGGTTCGTGTTGCGCAGCCTTTAGTGTTCTGTGGCGTGTTTTGATTGTCTTTTCGTCTTTTTTGGCAAAGGCATAGTTAGTTTGTTTTTGACTTATGAATTTGAATATCTCTTTGCTATATTTCGCCTGTCTGTCTCAAAACGGGCCTCAAAACCACATTCCGCCAAAACTTATCAAACTTCATTTTCATCAAACGTGTTCTCGCCCAAAAGTGTAAAAAATGTCTGTTTACCGAAACTTTGAAATGAAAGAACGTCCCAAAACATTTACCGTTATTATGTCCTCTATGACGTTAGTATCGTCTAAACTAAATTCAACCAATGTGAAACTATTTCAAACGTCGAGTTCCTGTTGGAGTATTAATAAAACAATAGCAAAATAGCTTCTCAAGGACAGCAATGCAAGATAATTTTTGCACCATTCACGAAGACAGGATTAGAAACAAAAAATTTAAAATGGGGACTTTGTAAAATTGCAAAGATTGTCAGAGGTTAAAGTTGTGAATTGAACTTTTTTAAATATGAAATTTTATTTTGAATTTCACATTAATCTAAATTAAATGTCAAATCGAAAATAATCTGCTGCCATTAGACGTATATAAATATATATATATATAAACGAAGGGAAATTTAGAGATTAGGTCAACGAGGAACAATAACCAAAACGTATTTCGCAAATCTGAGTTTTATTATTCATGTTTTGATGATTCAGCATCAAAGACAATAATAATAGTTCTTGTTGTTGAGAGCCGAACTGTAGATAACGAATATTGTATAATTGTCCTGGCACAGTGTTCTAACTAGAAATTTCGCAAAGGACCATCACGTTTTATTTGACACCATGTCCCTTTTTTTATTGTTTCGGCAGCGACGAAAGTCGCAGTTTGCGAGACATAGGTATTATTATCCGGCGGCGGCGGCGACGGCAGCGTAAACAATTTGTATGAAGCTTTATATTTTAGAAGGTAGACGACCTGTATGCTTTATATCTCGTATGCAGATACATTATGTAACGAGGTTTCCGTCAATCATATGTCCATTGTCCTTGTCCTCATTTTTATGGTTTAGCGACTTCTTGAAAAAAAAGAGATTTTTTGTCATGTGAATTTCTGACTTATTATGAGTAAACGGATAACTGTTTTTGGTATATGTGCTCCTTGCAACGTCTACATGTCCATCAGACAGAGTTCACCTAACATTGGCCTCATTTAATGGATCAGTGATCAAAGTTAAAGGTACGTGATTAGGTCAGTTTCTCAAATACTATTAGCAGTAGGTCAATTATATTTGGTGTATGGAATGATTGTAATGGGTACATGTCTGTCTGACAGGTTTCATCCGACGTTGACCTCAAATTTCATGGTTCATTGGTCAATGTTAAATTTTTGTGTTTAAGTCTGTTTTCAGAACCATAAGCCATAGTTCAGCTATATTTGGTGTATGGAATGATTGTAAGGTATACAAGTCTTGTTTGTATCATCTGACCTTGACCTCATTTTCATGGTTCATTGGTCAATGCTAAGTTGTGTTTTTGTCTGTTTTTCAAGTACTATAAGCAATAGGTCTACTATGCTTGGTGTATGGAAAGATTGTTATGTGCACATGTCTGTCTGTCAGATATCATCTGACCTTGACCTAATTTTTATGGTTCATTAGTCCATGTTTAGTGTTTTGTGTTTTTGTCTGTTTTTCAAAGTACTTTAAGCAATAGGTCAACTATATTTGGTGTATGGAATGATTGTAAGGTGTACATATCTGTCTGGAATGTATCATCTGACCTTGACCTATTTTTAATGGTTCAATGGTCAATGTTTAGTGTTTGTGTTTTGGTCTGTAACTCAATTAGCATACATAATAGGTCAACTATATTTGATGTACGGAATAATTGTAAGGTGCAAATGTCTGTCTCGCAGGTATCATCCGACCTTGAGCTCATATTAATGGTTCATTGGTTAATGTTAAGTGTTTGTGTTTTGGTCTGTTTTTCAATTAGCATACGCAGTAGGTCAACTATATTTGGTGTATAAAAAATTGTAAGGTGTATATGTCTGACTGTCTGATACAATTTATCTGACCTTGACCTCATTGTCATAGATTTTGAAAAATGCTAAGTTTATGTAATGCTTTTAGTAAAACCTTTATCTTTAAGACTTTCAACATAAAATCAATGGTCATTAAAGCAGGCGATACATTTCAGCGTGTGCAATATTGTTTTAAATTGAGCAGCTGCTATAACCCGTTTTACTACAATAAAACATTATCTAACTGATAAAGTACTGTCACTGAATAACATTTAATAACCTAATCGAAGATGTTCGATTTAACCACTTATAGACCAAGTGTTAGGTCCTTATAATATTCTCAACTGGATATGTTTTCAAACAAAATGTTTGATAATGAATCACTCTAACATGAAGGCGGACACCTTTGCATTTTGTTTTAAAAATTAAGACCTGTTTTGGCATTTATGAAAATAACACTTTTAGGCGTCCTACAACACCTATTCATGTTTGGGCGTACAGTGACTTCATATAAATATGTTTCAGGGATTGAACACTTTCGATGGGAATAACACAATTCTGAATGTTATGTATTAATATATGTATACAGTTGACTATTACTTCACATGGAATATAATATTGAAAAATAGAAAAGTGGTATGATTATTATATAATGTATGCAGGTACATGTAACTGTATTGTAATTCTTATAAAAATGGTATGCTTTTTTTCCTTTAGGAAACAAATACATGAACGAGATATCATCTAGCGGTAAATACAAACTTTACATTGAACTTGAGGACTTTGATGGGAATAAAAAGTACGCAGAGTATAAGTTGTTTAGTGTTGGCGATGCGGCTTCAAACTACATCTTACGTGTTAGTGGATACAGTGGATCTAGTACTGCAGGTATATTATTTGTTATATCAAATTAATACATTTCCTTTGAACACGATTGGCTCTGTTGAGGGATGTTAAAACTTTCAAATAAGTTTTAATTGCGTAATTTTATATATTTTGCCTTTATTGTTAAGATTATTCCAATTCGAAATCGCGATTGGTGGTGTCAGAGAAACATTACATCTAAAAGAGCAAAATGCGGTCGGCTTTCACTTATAATTAAGAGCCAGGAAAGGTCAGAATGTCTTCATGCTTATTCCTTACGTTGAACTAGTACATTGCATTGATAGGTTTGCTTTAGTTCTATTGGTAAATATTACAGTCTATATTCAGGACGAGAAACACAGAACAGTCAATATATTTGGTAGACTCTGCCAATTTAGTTGGCCAGGATGAAGGGACGGGAATTTAAACTGCTTAACAAAGAAGATTTTTTTAGAGGGTCACAACTGTTCCTTCCAACAGGCCACCTTCGGAACCCTCAGATATTTGTTTGGTTCTTTTATGCGCAGAAAACGTGTTACTATCATTACTACATGTTTAGAATTTTACAGCCTTTTTCCAACCGGATTTGGCTGCGTATTCATACATTCTATACAGCAAAGCGTATTGTAATCTTTAGCATTGATTTTACGGCCAGACGGAGGTAGACCATGTGTTCATATTTCTTTATCCATGAAAATCGTTGGGTCCAAAAAATATTATCGGTGTATCTGAAAAAAAGGCGATATGGCAGGAGAAGGGTGCCTGCCAACAGCTCATAGTACGGCCTTCAACAATAAAACGACAAAGTTGACCTTGAATGGATTGCCTAATTCTATAATAAACTTTTTTGATCGTATAGTCCAAAGATATTTATTCACCCCTGTATTTCTTATTTTGGTTTTTGAGGATTAGGGATAAAGGTCAATCCAGAAAATTCCGATTCCACCAAATTTATAAAGTGTTAGTTTCATACTTTATTGAATAAGAACATAACCTTGTATTCATTTGGTGCGGCCGAAGCACTTGTCTGGCTTAACCATCATCTGGAACCCTTCGAAACCTAAAACTGTAAAGCCAATGATGTAAAGCACTGGTATACATGAGGAGCTACAATGTATGCTACCAGACGAAATCTTAAAAGAATAGCTAAATCTATCTAAAGTCATCTTTTCCTGATGGAGTTCTTAATGATAATTATTGAATTGATAATTTTGAGCATACCATACACTAATGTCATATAGTTGTCGTTTAATTCTACACTGTGAAAAACAATTTCCTTGAAATCTTAAGAAATTTAATTAATATTTGCTATTTCATAAAATACTCAATGACGTTCAATTATTATTAGACTAATGTCGTGGTATATTTTACAAAATGAACACATAAAATACTTGTGTTTTAGTTCTTATTAATATAAGATTATATAAATTTATGTTGATTAGATTCGTACAACCTCATTGTCCTCCTTGCTTGAGTTTGTTTTTGAGACACTAAAAATGCTTGTTGCTATGGATCGACGTACACGGTTTCAAACGGTTTTTATACATTTGAATGTTAACCGGACAAAATGTTCGCGTGCGTTACTGACGTTAAAAGCGTAAATATATTGAATATGCAAACCAATAAAAAAGATTCTGAAACAATTGCAATGACCCCTAAACGGAGCGAGACCAGTTGGTCAACAATAGAAATTCTGCAATGCATGCATAAGCCGTCATTAAAATCTAGACTCGGTGAAAATGGACTGACGTAAACGTATTTAAACAGTTTTTATCCATTTGAATGTTAACCGGACAAAATATTCTAACGCTGGCGTTACTGACGTTAAAAGCGTAAGAAACGTATTGAATATGCAAACCAATAAAAAATATACTGAAGCAATTGCAATGAACCCTAAACGGAGCAAGACCAGTTGGTCAACAATGTAACTTCTTCTGCTATGCATGCCTGAACCGCCATGAGAATACATATTCGTGCGTTGACAGGGTAGTCGTCTTCTGCTATGCATTGATCAACCACCATGTGAAATCAGATTTAGTCAAAATGTTACGGATACTGTCGGTAGAATTCTAGATCAAAAGACGATACTTATATCTGGTACCATGAGAAATCAGACTCCGTGAAAATATCACGATATGGAATAGGAAACATATTGCAAATTTGCAGGTAAAACAACTTTTTTTGACCACATAGACATAGCAGTGTAAGTTCCCAAATTGTTTTGACAGAAACAACAAATAAAATACGTTATATCTTTTGTAGACGACAGTTTTTCATATCATAACGTCATGGAGTTCAGTACCTTTGACAAGGATAATGATGAATGGAAAGGTACTAACTGTGCTAAATTGCGAAAGGGTGCTTGGTGGTATAAAATATGTATACAGTCAAATCTGAACGGGTTATATCTAGGAGGAAAGACAGATATATTTGGTGATGGAATTGTTTGGAATTCATGGCACGGAAAGAAATATTCTCTTAAATCTACAAAAATGATGATAAAAAGGAACTAAATAAAAGCACATTTTTCCGCAATGAAAATATTTTGTGTATGAAATATCATTAAATATTTGTTGATGGAAATGAGTTGAAAAACTTGGAGACGAAACGTCTTAACATTTGCTTTAATATTAAGTCTTGTGCTGTAATCTTAAGGTTGGTTGATGGTCTAATTTACAAATTTTTGATACTTTTTTGCTACTCCTTTTAGATTAAAACAAATGCTCAGCGACCCTTAAATTTCTATATAATCAGAAAAATAAAATACCTACAGTACATATTAGATAAAGTATGAAATTATAATAGCACTTTATAAATTTCTTGCGTCCGAAACGCTTTCAATTTTTTTATATGCTTATATATTTTTCATACAGTTTATTATTTAATTCATCCAATATTCAATTCGATAAAATACGAGTCAACTATTTCAACAAACAATTCCGATTTTCAAAGCTTGTATCTTTTGAAAGCAAGCACACATACATTGTACTTATTTATCATTTACAAATACTTTGCCATTTTGAATTCCGAAAACAAATCCTTAAGGTGGATGATCGGTATAGTGTTCCTCAGACAGAATATTCTTATATTTTGCCAAAATATAGATTTAATCATAAAATTGAGAATGGACACGGGGAATGTGTCAAAAAGACAACAACCCAACCAAAAAGCATAAAACAGCCGAAGGCCACCAATAGTCATGCTTTTTTTTAAATAACATAAAGTATTGGTCACCGTGGTTTTTTTAAAGCTACAAGTCGTTCAGAATTGTCCAAACTTGCAAAGATTATTCATGAAAAAACACAATGAGATAGAAATTTGAAATAAAATATGAGAAAATAGATTTTTTGTATGCTTTAAGAAAATATAGAGAAAACATGGTGAGACCGAACTTGTTTTCTTGCTACAAGTAGAGCATGAAAATTTCTTTAACATTCTTTTATTAAATTTTAATAAATTTGGGTTATCTCCCCCTTAAGGCCTAGGTTAAAAAATTGATTCGAAAAACATAAATATTTAAATTTGTTAGAACAGTCTTAATAATGCAATAAATCCCTTATTTTTTTTCTATCAAATATACAGTCTTACACATCAGACCAACATTTGCTGATGTAAGCAAAGGACTAGACCGATAATTGTGTTCTACTTTTTTTAAATCCAAGATGGCGGTATGCAGTTTATCTACCTTAAAATACTGTTCTACAGTCTTTTGAAACTTTTTATTCATTGTTATTTCTCTATTTACATGATATTTTTTGCAGGTCATATATATTTTATCATTTTCTATTTTTTTGTTCGAACTGTGATTTTCCACAACCCTTATTGTTATTATTTAAAGATGTATCCTACTTTTGTTTTACATTGATGTATAAATCATTAGAATGAACATTCAAATACAACCAGACATATATTACGTGAACAAACATGTAACTTAAAAAAATGTTTGATGACATTAAAAGTTTTTTTTTTCTTACCATTTCCTAGTCAATTTTGTCAGTTCTTATAACAGAAGAGACACATGAGTCTTCTAACTGATATTTACGCCATTTTTTGCAATTTTCCACAATTTGAGTTTGACTTATTTGATCATTGTTTCCTCAAGCAAGGTACAAATTGCCTCATTCATACGCATAGCTTCTTGTTGACCAAACAAAGAGATATCGACCTCTGTCCTTACATAGGCGTTCGCTGGTGATTTAATTAAAATAAAAGGCTTTACATGTACGCATTTCTTTAAATCATAGGTAATCAGATACCAGTTCACACTTGATTCAGTAATGCGTAGTAATCTCACCTTTTTGTTGCCTACATAGCAATCACACAATGGGATTCTTTCAAAGTTCGTTTTTGTACCGTGTGGATGACATACACCACTATTATCGTAAAAAAAATCGACTCTGCTTACATAAATAGATTACTAGTATCCTTAACTTTCGTGGAAAAATGTCAAACTTCTGAATCAATTGACTTACATGATTTGTTTTCAAAACTTCTTTCTAACGGTATTTTTGACGTTTTATGTTCGTACGGCACCGGGAAACCCGAAAATTGTTTGTTTTCAACTTAAAATAATCGTATGTTCCTGACGTCACTTCTCGATAAATTTAGTAACCAATGAAAGAGGAGATTCCCTTTCACCTTGTTCTCAAGGAGGAATTTTTATATCCGGTCGAAATCAAGGTCAAAATTTAGATTAAAATCTTCAAATCAATTGTTCTTGAAACAGACAAAACGTATGGAAATTCCTCTTCTTTTATCTTCAAATACTATTGTTTTTCTTTCAAAATTGGTTAATTGTCCGTAGAAAAAACGTCAGGAACATACTTTTATTTTTCAGCGAAATTTATAAACAACGACGAACTATGGAAGAGAAAATTACTATCGAGACCAACGTTAACGTCGCTAACAGACAACCAGCTGTGAACGCTATGTGGAAGGACAGCAATATAAACGAGAGTTATATAGGTAAATATGTATTGTTATTATATTTTATTTATAAAATCTATTTTTAAGGTGAATGGACGGAAGCTCATGTCTTATAAATGGGCCTGCCCATCATCCGTTCTCTCATCTTTCTAATATCAGTAATGATCCCACCCTTTTTGTCTGGGTTATGTGGGAAAGGGGGCAAAATAAAATGTGCTGTGTGCAGTGGAAGTGCTGCCCAATTTTTTAGTGTGAAGGGGAGAATTATGTCCATTTTCAGTTGGGGGGGGGGGGGGGTTGCTTGGACATGAAGGAACCCCTATGATATCCTGGTAGTACTCTTGCTTTAAATTTAACTCTTGCTTTAATTTTTTAACATGAGTTCCTGCAAAAATTCAGTTTCAGTAGAGTACAGATTTTGTGAATTTGTCTTATAAAGTTCTATTATAATATACTCCCTATTTTAGAAAAAATATTCATTATTAAATACTTATTTGAACATTTTTATTAAATAATGATATTTAATGACAAAAAAACACCTAGACAGGAAGTCTTGGCAAATATTATCAATTCTATACTTATCTTTTTTGTAGTATCAACTTCATGGGAATTATTAGCTCCAAATATCAATACAACTACATTGAAAGGTCTGCTATGTGAAAAGGATTATACCGGTTAGTTTATATTTATTGCATGAATTTGAAATTAAAGAGATATGGGATATAAATCAATGAGACAGCAACCCAATGCAAAGACAAAAAACTGTTCTAGTTAACTTTATATTCTTTTATTTAATAAAAAAAATATCTTATGACAACCATTATCAACTGATAAAGATCAAAGATGTCATTTTTAAATGGATGTAACATGCAACAATAAAGATTTGGGATATTTTGTAAATGCCATGAATTAGATGTTTTCATTTATTGATGATTGCTTAACATCACTATAATATACATATATTTGCATATACTAGTATACCATATACTATAGTTAAATTTAACATTGCAAACATCGGGTTTGTAGTCTCTTTGACACATTCCCCATTTCCATTTTCAATTTTATATATACTGTTAAGATTAATATCATTTTACAATTGTCAAACAGAAGAAGTTAAACAAATCATTTTCAACAAATAAACAACAGCCAAAAAGGGTTAACATTATCTTGGCAATGCATGGAATATTTGCCACGGAGATGTAGCAAGCAACAGTCAATCTTACTTTCATCGCTAATTCTTTTGGAAGTAAATACAGTTGCATTTATCTTTAAATCTTTCTTTGACTTTATTTACATATTTCGCGTTGCTTTGTGGTCCTTTTTTTTTCTTTTGCAGAAGAAGACCACTTGCATTGATGTCAGCTGGACTGAAAACATCAGATGTCAACGTATGCCTTTTGTCAAATAAATTGTTTTACTTATTGTCAGCTGGCTGACTTCTTTAAGTTATATGTTTTTTTAAATTTGGTGATGGGAATTTATTTCTTATGCATACATTTTTTTTGCAGATGATTGGCCACTTGGAAGAATTCAAGACAAAGTTTTTCAAGTGGCATATTTTTGGATATGGATTATGTAGATTCTGACCCACAGCTTACATACAAATACAATGTTCAAAATTGTATTGAAAATGTCCATCTTCATTGTTCAAATGTCTCTGCCTTTGTAAGGAAAATTAAAAATTTGAAAGAAAAAGTACAGAAAAAGAAACAGAAAGAACTTCTATATAATAGTGTTCTTGAAGTTACAAAAATTGAGGAATTAGGTATTGAATGCAAAAAACAGGGCATTACAGAAAAATGGCTTCTTAATCCTGAAGAAATAAATGTTGGTTTTGTGTCAAGAAAATTAATTTTTGAACTTAGACATTACATAAGGCTGAATAATATAACAGATAAAACATGTGGTCTTTGGATCAAGCATATTTGCAAGCTTGAATCAATACCTCACTTAGGAAGGTTGTGGCTTAATATTGATTTAACCCATTTCTCTGACGTCATTTTATTGTTCTTACAGTGGATTATTTTTCAAGAATCCACTGACCACTTCGTTAACTTAAGATAACTTATTTTATAACTTTAAACTTTTAACTTACGATTTTTTATCCTCTCAAAAACGAGTGGCATATGAAGGGCTCGAACTCGCGCGTATTTTCTTCATAATCAGTAGAGTCTTCAGTCTATGCATGATACCACTATACCACGAGTGCTCACATAAATCAATATTTAAATAACACTCTTAAAGCGCACAACTGTCAATACATGTCAATCAACTGTATTTCTATCTCAGAGATAATTCGCTTTTGTTATCTAATAAAATATATATACTATGTCTGGATTTGTTCATGTTCTTTTCAAATTTATTTATATCACGTCAACATTGAACGGACTCTAATTTGAGTAAAGTGTGATATATAAGCTACGACCGTTAAACTACTTCTTTGACTGTAAAACCAGAAACAAAATCATCGCCTTTAAATGAAAATGAAGTATATAATACCTCTAAGATTAAAACTATTTTTATCGATAAAAAAATTACAATGAAAAAATTTCATTCCGGATACAAGGTTCGAACTTTGCACTGTTAATATCACAGTTATGACATTCGTTACCAACGACTAGACGATCACAGCTACGAACAGCTTGATGGTAAGTTTATGAAATCAAGATAATTATTCATTGTACATCCGTAGCAAGAGCAATTCTGATGGGGATTCAGAATGCGTACCTCAGATAAAAGTAGTTTATTTACCGGTGAACGATATATGCCAAATGTAATAACGTTAAAATAATCGTAACTTAATGAAACGGAAACAGCTTAAACAGATTTGAATATAATTGTTCAATTTAAATCGTAAGCACATAATTTTAATACTTTAGGAAAGCAACATGAATTTGAGCATTATGAAATTGCAGATTTATGGCATCTACCTTATCAATATTTTTTTTACTAAGAACGGCTTAACGGTGTTTAGTATTCAATTAACCAAAACATGTTGCTAAATATTATATATATAAATTTTGAAGGTTCTAAATTTTGGTAATTAAATTTTTTTAACTTTTCAAAACAAGATAAATACATTCTGTATATTAATATATGTCTTTTTGAATAAATTAAATATACCAAAATCTATTCAATATAAATAATTTGTAATGATTAAACATTAAATGAAATATGTATATACAAAACTAAAATCTGGTGTTAAAAAGGGGAGCTAACACCCCATTTAAGTTATCTTAAACTTATGTTAACTTGTCAAATGTCTAATTATAGATGCGAACCGTGTGGATATCATCATTTCCAGCTATTATAGAATAAAAAAGACAAAATACTAAACTATTTTTATGAAATATCGTTGATTCATTGTCAAAACGTAAAACAGGCAGTCGTTTTAATAGAAATGGGTTAAGCTAGAGAATTGATAAGAAGTAGTGGATTCGGAAACGATAATCAACTTGCGACTAAAGTCGCTCGTTGATTATCGTTTACGAATCCACTACTTCTTATTAATTCTCTACTACAGAATGTTCAATAAAAAAAACAAAATAAAATTGGAAGAAAGAGACAATTTCTTAAATGGTGAATATCAACCACCATTGGCACCAAAAGAAGTTGACCCTAATATTGAACTCCACTGCCGTGAATGTTGTAAACAAGCACAAGTAAATAAAATAAAATACAACATAGGGAAAGTTGTAAATGAGGCGAATAAAATAACTAATTTGAAAAAGGAGAAATATGAGGCCCAATTTCAGGTCTATAAACTAAATAAAGAACAGAGAACTCTTTCGCAAAAACTAGACAGGTGTCAACAAAAATTGGGATCTTTGTCAATGAGAAATGTAAATAAGCGAATTAAACGAAGAAATGAAAAAATACGGAAACTAATGGAAGAAAATAAAAAGCTCAAAGATCAGAAACAGCATTTACATGCACTAACGCGAAAAATAAGACTAAAGTGCAAACAAAGAGCGGCTATGTTAAAATATTATAACAACAAAAAAGTTAACAATCTCAAGACCAAACAGGTAAATACAGTAATA